TCAAACAAAAACACCTCTTAACGAGGTGATATCAAATATTGTTACGGTAAGGTACCCCTTTTAATCGGTTGATTACAAGACTCACAATCGTTCTATTCAACAAAACCTCAAATGCAAAGTAGATCTGAACGGTTCGTGAACTACAATGCGTGAGTTCTATTATCTGCCAACGCGGGGAGCGAAAGTGCTTTTCATTTTAAAATGCAAATTACAAGTACTTTAACTCAATTAAATTTGATTCTATAAGTTAATAGCTTAATGATAGTCTCATAGTCGAGAGTGAATCTTCGTACTTATTTTATCTATTGCAATTTGGTTCAGATTCGACCAATGATTGGTTCTGTTCGAATGGCCAAATTCTGCGGCCTCAGAGATTCATTTTACATTGTAAGAAGCTAATTCTTTAGAGAAAATTAAGCAATAAAATTTGTTTGATAGTCATATATAAGTTGAAGAGAGTGCATCGTATAAAATAACGTTGGAATGTGCTAAAATTTTTTTAAATTGTTCCTATTCGGTTTTTTTTGGCTGTGCTTTCCTTGTAATTTCGGCTGCCTGTGCAGAAGTGGTTAGTGAAACGGCGCATGACCGTGCATATGCATTGCTGCCCCCCAATCCTGACTCCTTTATGCCAACCTCGGAATGAATAATCCACTTAATACTGCTGATTGGGGACGTGAGTGGTTAAATTTAATTGAATCGCGAGGAGGCTGGTGTGAAAAGGAGGCAGTTTGGACGCAATAATAACTAAAGCCGAATCTTAAGTAGCCGTTTTGATTAACCATCAAAATACACAAATAAATAAGTGAGTGAAGAAGTGCAATCTGAGGTCCAAAGAGCTAATGAGCTGATACCAACAACCCCAACAGGCCACAGAATGCACCGCCCGCTGATCTACTTTAAAATGGATTACTCTCAGGCTAGAAGCCTTGTTTTATCGTTTCTGTGCATCCTTGGTGCGGCAACAGTCGACGGGGAAATTATTTTTCGCATCGATCCTCTCGGTAAGCACTACTTTGAAAGAACTATTAAAATAGTAATAAACTTTTGCCTCCAATTAAGAATACATATTAAGTCGGCAGGCAACTGTCTTCACATAAAATTTAAAATTGACAAATTATTAGAAGAGTAAAAATATACTTTCTTAAAAATACAATGTCTCGACAAAACAAATACATTTCAAGAATTACTTACGTGTTATTTATTATTAAATTCGATTCCGGATGAGCGATCGAAGTTAAATAATGTATGTTTTTTTATATAACCTTGCAGCGTATTATAATTTTGACTAGAAACTTGTAACTACTGAAGAAAGCTGAAAACAAATGTTCCCATACAAATTGCTCTTTTGATGATTTCATTCAGTCAGTTCCTTTGAGGTTACTGAAAATATCGGCTAAGTAAAAGGTCCAGTAGTTAAAACTAATTAAATATTATAAAGCATACAAAATTTATATCCGACTCGACCGGGTTCTCGAGACTGGGTTTTGATTTGAAAAATAAGCAACTTATTTGGGTCGAATTAATTAATTAGAATTAATGATAATTCGTTCAAGCGAAAGATTTTGACAGTCCCCTCATGATTTAATATGGCGTCTCCTTTTCTTAGTCGCACTTATTTTGACCTTGAAAATCAAATAGTTCTTGAAGTAAACCTAAGAACTACATTGAACTCATGAAAGATTTAGGGGATGTGTTACTGAAAATTATTGGCGATGTATCGTGATACTCATCCGATATTTTTAGCCGGTAGGGAACCACCTAAAAAAGTTAGCAACTGAGTTCTTGAAAAGCTGATTTCAAAAGTTTCAATGGTCAGAGTGTAAACAACCGAGGAAAATGTCACAAAAAAACTTTTTTAAACCGTTATACGACATTTTGTATAGTAAGAGATGTGCTTGGTTGCCGATAGTTTAAGTAATTCAGTCTTTTCAGCGTATAGAGAATCCCATAAATATTTACGGTTATCTTGTTTTAATTATTTTTGTCTATATTTTATATGTATGACGAAAGGCACTATTTAACACTCCTTTATTGCTGATCATGCATGTATGTAGTTTTTAAGTCTATGTTTTAAATCTCACACAGATATTGACGTGCTGCACCACATTGCGCTATGTTATCAGATTCATTTTTTTGCCGTTAAGAACTTGTTTGGTTATCGGCATACAAGTGTAAGAGGCGTACCTTTAAAATATTACAGCTTTATAGTTACAATTTTACATTTATATTTTCGTAAAAACGATCGTTTTTACCGCAGCTTTTTGATATAGTCATCTGATTTTCATTAAATTAATGTCGATGTCCGATCCGGCTCGTTCCAACTTATATACAAGTAAGAGTATAAAAAAGTTTCATTTATGAAGCTTAAAAACTGAGAGACTAGTTTGCGTAGAAAGTGAAAGGCGGACATGGCTAGATCAACTGTTGAAGCTGATTGAGAATATTCATTTATACATATTTTATATTGTCGAAAAATCCTTCACTGCGTTGCAAGCTTCAAGACTAAAATTATAACCACCTGCAAGGGTATACCAATTGTAATCAATAATAATCATAACTATCAAAAGGTTGTGGAAAAACTAAGTATTCACCATCTTTATAGCAACACATTCAAAATACATTAATTTACGAAAAGGCATTGCAGTGTAAATCATACATATTTTACATATATACTTTCTATGGGATCTTCCATTAAGAAACATTCCAATCGGATTTTTATTTTTCATTTTTATTTTTATAAATATTAGTCATAAAAGAGATAATCGTTACCTTTTGCAGGGCATTCTAATTTTAGTAAAAAGTTTGCATGACAGTAAAGGAGTAATTTCCGAACCTATAAGGTATACACATTCTTGATCAGATACAACATCCGAATCGATTTAGCCGTATCAAAAAGAAAAGAAATATGATAAAAACTTGTGAAAGTTAAAGCCGAGGAAGGGCTAAAAGCCATCTTGACTTTTTATTTTAATAAGAATAGAATATAAATAGCAGGCATAAAACCGATCGGAAAAATATTAAGAAAATAATTTGTACTATAATATATAAGTACTAATATTATTTAAAAACATTTTTAAAAAGTGTTCTTAAATTTTATTCGATAAGTGGTTTTGTGCTTCGGTATAATATTTGTTTCAGCCCCTAGGCTTAAGGAATAAAAAACTTTTAAGGCATTAAAAAAAACCAACCTGAATCTAGATTATTTTACGGAGACGGGTTCCATTATAGGGGCATCGAAAGCTAGTTTTTGAACGCTTGGATATTCAAGGTAAAGGGTAGAGAATCATCAACATTAGTGATTTTAAAATGTATTTTAAGCCAAACATCCTGGTTTAACAATGGACTATTGATATTTTTACATCTTTACCTAATACGTAAAATGAATCACAGAACGTATTTATTTACATAAATATTAATTCAGCAATGTATTTTTAAGAAAACAATATATAAAACATTGATCTTTAAACATAAACATGTTGCCCGATATAACATTTTCAGTTTTCAAAAGGTTTTCATCAACTTTTAGATATAGATATTATTCTAGAATTTTCATTTTAATTTTATAAAAATCGGAGGACTATAGCATACAGCTGCCATAGAAACGATCGTTAGATATAGAGAAAAATGAAAAACTTTGAATATAAAACTGTAAATATAATATATGTATATACATTCGATTGAAAGGAATGCAGTCATTACTTCATTGTTTTTTAACAAAAATATATATAAATTATATTGTATTAATGTGATTGTATCTACAAGGTTATATAAGCTTTTTCTTGCCGAAGTTAGCTTCCTTTCTTGTTTTTAGTTGTTTTTGCGTTATTAATTAAAAAAGTAATTAATTAGAAATACATCAAATGAATAATAATTAGTGTTGAACATAGGGGAAACATTATTATTATTATCCATTTTGCTTACCTTATATACGGTTTTACAGTTTTGGATTTGGTTTGGTTGAAATAAGTTGTAAGCCACTGTATGTATTTTCGAAATTATGTAAACTGCTTTTCCTGTGCAATAGTAACATTAGTAAATATATATTACAAATCCAATGACTAATTTCTAATTCAAATTGTACGCGCTAAAAAAAATATTATCATTTTTATTAAAAATTGTAAATCATTAAATTTAGATAGTTTATACTAATGCATAAAGTGATTATGATTTTAAATTACTAGTAGTTTAAAACATTCAAAACTGCGATGTAAGATCACAAACAAAGATAAACAAGAAAAGCATTCATTTGAAAATAGGTGGCAAAATCTAGGTTAATGAACACATTTTCCAATGTATTTGGAGTATCAGATAGAGATAAATGATGTGTCCTTAGACGTGTTACTAGAATTCGCCCTCTTAAAATAAAAAACCGGCAGCAACGTCTGTCAGTGTCTATAAAACATTTAAATCAAAATAAAGCAATTGGAAAAGCTACAATGGAGTGGAAATCGACTGTGAGATATTAGCTCTTATTAAGCTCAAACTTATGAAAACCTTAATTTAATAATGACAAAGAAAATGTTGACAATTAAAGGCAAATGTTACTAAGAACGTGTTGAGTAATACCCATTGGTGCTTTAAACACATAACAAAGCAGAAACTAATTCGAAGATAGTTGGTCTGATTTTAATAAAATTTTTACAGTACCTTTAAACGTTATCGTTCATCACGAGTTGTTTGGGCGGAGGTGGGCGTGGCCAAATTTTAAAATAAACTTGATCTACAGATATGAATTTTATACACATATTTGATTTTACACGGACGGACAGACGAATATGACTAGATCGATTCGGCTGGTGATGCTAATCAAGATACTTCTGCCTGTTACATACATTTCCGACCACCACAAACTCTTGTACCCATGGGATTCGGGTATCAAAATGCATGAAACCATATAAACATCATACACACATATGTACATACTCGTTTGATCTTTAAGTTCAGACTTACATATATCAATTAACTTTACCATCTATGTCTTGTCTTTTCTCAAACAGCCTTGTTATCGGCAACTCTGCGCACGTATCAGAAGGCAGCATGCGACTCGGATCAGGTGGTAATAGCGTGTCCTCGCGGCACCAGCATTTCTATAGAGTTTGCCCAGTACAACAAGTTCGTGGCGAAAGGTAATTATACAAGAGATGACTAAAAATGCAGTTAGTTATGTAAATGTAAATGTAAAATGTAAAAATGTAGTTATTTTTTAAATTAAATTTTAGTCCCGGTCGCACGCGACATTTTGGAAAGCGATAATTTAAATTAAAACTGTACGACTATTGGTAATCTCAAATGTCCTTTTGCATTTTATATTGACTCTTTGAGTCTTCTATGTCATATTAGAACCCAAAAGTTAAACCAAAATGCTTTGGTTTAAGAGATTGGCATCAAAACAAAACATGCCATTTTTATTAAACGGTTTTATTTAGCTCACCCGGTTTTTTTCTTTGTTCTTGGGTCAAATTTAGTAATTCAAATTTCACCCTCTTCCTGTCAACCGAGTGATCTGAAATTTTGTATACACTTTGGATTTTGGTGACAATACAATTATGTTTATTCATTATCGTTATAAATTAAAGATGGCCGCCGCTACAAAATGGCGGATGACTTAGGTTTTATCAATCCCATCAACACGGGTATCAAATGAAAGGTCTCAACAAGTAGAATACAATTTACTATGCAAAATTGAAATCTAAGATGGCCGCCGCTACCAAATGGCTGATATCAATTGTTTATCAATCCCACCAATATGGGTATCAAATAAAAGGGCTTGACAAGAATAATACAGTGCACTATACAACCTCATGGCGTATAATAATAAGATTTAAATTTATAAATTGAATCTGTAATTTAGGTATCTGATTAATCCAGCCTGAATCCACCACCGAAGTCAAAATTTTTTTATCGTGTTGAGGACTGTGTGGCGTTAGGGTGGCTAAATATGATACGTCGTTAGCGGTACACCACCCAAGTTAAGGTGAAAGGTTAAAACGCGCCGAGAACTGTATGGCATTAGGGTGGATAAAAAAACTTAAAACTAGAAAATAAAAATAGGTAAAAAACTTTTTAAGTTAAACGGTTTTATGTTAAACATACATTGCAATGTTTAAGATAAATGTACTAAAAGCCAAAAAAATAATAAAATAGATAAAGTCGTGGGAAATATAAACATATGCATAGACTAGACTAAAATAAAACCGTGGGACACGTCAATTGTCTACAAATTATCGACTTAATGTGCGATAGAAGAATCGTTAATCGAAATTACTTACTATTTTCTTGCTCATGGAAATTCCAATAGTTATACACTCCATGTAAATAAAAGAGATGTTTCAACTAGTTTATCGTTGGACATTCACGCTGCTGGCTGGCGAGGAATCGTTTCACTGCTCGTAGTTTGTCTTTAATCGACAAAAAATATGATAAAAGTACTACTCGCTCACCACTACGAAACCCTAAAACTCGCTTATAATCGAGCTTGCTAGTTTGTTTCCACAGTCTAGCCCTACTTATCACACGTCCATCGTTGTCGGTTGAACAACTGCCTAATTATAGTGTTACATTACAAAACAATCATTTTAATCAACGATTGTAGACAATTGACGTGCCCCACGGTTTTAGTCTAGTCTATGCATATGTTTATAATTTCCACTACTTCATCTATTATATTTTTTTTTTGTTTTGGCTTTTAGTACATTTATCTTAAACATTGCAATGTATGTTTAATTGTAAAAGATTTTTACCAATTTTTATGTATGACTTTTTTGACAAAAATAACTTAAGTTGCGTTTACGCGTGTTTGACTTCGGTTTTTTCGAAATTTATTTTAGAAAATGAAAAATTCTCTTAGTCTTGATCAATCTGACCAATTTATTATGTAATCATGTTAAAAATACTCGTTTTTAAGCAATTTTAAGTTTTTGGCCGCGGTGGACCTTTCTGGAGAATTGCCCATATGTAGCACACATACGGCTCATGCGAAGATTATTATATAATGTCAGTCTCTTAATAGAACATGTATTACACTATTAAATATAAACCCTACAACATTATAAAAACTTAGATATATGAATGAATGTATGTGTATTATATTTTAAATTAGGTTCAGAGTAGGCACTATTTAAGACCGTATTTTATTTATTTACCAATCTCAACATCGCTTTCCAGATGGCTACAGCATTGAAGATCTGTGTCCTCTTTCTGGAATGACGGGGCCTGAAATCCGGGGCAAGGCAAAACACCTGCTCAGAGGGTCCATTTTTGGATCATCTTCTCTGAAGGTGCAAGCCAACCGTTACGTAAACAACGGACACGGTTATGGGCTTGCAGTAGCAATGCCAACTACCAGCGCTCGGACAAGTGAAACTGTCACCGAGTCAGCAGGTGGCACAGCTGTGTCCATTGACGAAGTGCAAAGTGCTTCCGGCGATACCAGTGACAACTCTTCTGAAAATTGCATGTGGCCCAATGCCTTACAGGTAATTAATAGTTACAAAAGTTATAGCACGTTGAAAATCTTTATTTTTATACCTATATTACTCAGCGACTTCTTCCGTTGTAAAAATAATATGAGAAACCGCAACTTTGGTTACATGTTTATACCCTAAAGATAAAATAACTAACATTTATATAAATATCTTTTAATTTTCCGTTCAACATGTACCTATTATATAATATATATTATTATGATTATTATTAAAGCTAGAGTTTTAAATTTGTTCATAAAATTATAATCGAAATTCTGCAATTCTAATAAAAAGCGAATAAAAATTTTAACGAAAATAATAATATGTTGCAAAACGGCAAAGCTATAAGGAACATATGGATGGCAGCTATCTCATAAAATAAAATTTTCATAAGAAAAAAATATATATAAAAACAAGAAAGGAAGCTAACTTCGGCACGCCGAAGTTTATATACCCTTGCAGATAGAACTTCGATGACTTCCTGGATTCCTTCCATACAATATAAAATATATATATTAATGTTAAAAAAAAACAATGAAGTAATACCTGCTCTCATTTCATTCACCTATACATATTATACATATACATATTATATTTTCAGTTTTACATTCACAGATTTGCAATTTTGCTCCACATCTAACGATGGTTTGTATTGCACCTATGTGATATAGTCGTCCGATTTTCATAAAATTTGCAACAAAATTTAAGACTGATATAAAATGGCTATATTTCAAATTTAATGAAAATCTGCTGAAAACTTAAAACGTTATAATTTTTAATTGTATTCATTTTTTGATCGTTCGTGATATAGTAGTCGGGTTTTTTTTTATAACTTTACACAACATTTAGATTAAAATAAAATGATATTTGATGAAAATCTGGTGAAAACTGAAGAAATTATAATCTTTCATTTTATTAACTTCTTTTATTTCTTATAAAATGGCTATGTATCAAATTTGATGAAAATCTGTAGAAAACTGAAAATGTTATACTTTTTAATTGAATTAATTTCTCGATCGTTCCTATAGGAGCTATATGATATAGTCGTCCAATTTTGATAAAATTTTACACAAAATTGTAGAATAATATGAATTGGCTATATCTCAAATTTGATTAAATTCTGTTGAAAACTAAAAATGTTATCGCCACCGCGCTTGTCAGTCTTCCGACAACAGCCACCGCCATTCTCATTCCTCTCAAATATCTCGATCGTTCCTATGGGAGCTATATGATATATTAGTCCGATTTTCATAAAATTTTACACAAAATTGTAGAATAATATGAAACGGCTATATCTCAAATTTGATGAAAATCTGTTGAAAACTGAAAATGTTATACTTTTTAATTGAATTAATTTCTCGATCGTTCCTATGGGAGCTATATGATATAGTCGTCCGATTTTCATCAAATTTTACACAAAATTGTAAAATAATATGGCTATATCTCAAATTTGATCAGATTCTGTTGAAAACTAAAAATGTTATAATTTTTTTTTGTAAAAATTTTCAGATCATTCCTATGGCAGCTATATGATATAGTCGTCCGATCCGGCCCGTTCCGACATATATACGAGTGAGAGTATATAGAAGACTAACTGCAAAATTTCATTCAGATAGCATCAAAACTGAGAGACTAGTTTGTGTAGAAACGGACAGACGGACATGGCTAGATCGACTCGGCTGTTGGCCCTGATCAAGAATATATATACTTTATATAGTCGGAGGTGCCTCCTTTACTGCGTTGCAAACTTCTGACTGAAATTATAATACCCTGCAAGGGTATAAAAATATATATATATATATTTAAATATAAAATAATATAAATTCTGTATATCATTCGAATAGCGTCAAACAGAGAGACTAGTTTGCATATAATCGGATATAATGAACATTACCAGATCGACTCGGCTGTTGATGCTGATTAACAATATGCATGTATACTTTATAGGGTGGGAAATAACTGCTAGACTGCGTTGCAAGCTACTGACTAAAATTAGAGAACCCCGTACATTGACTTATCTTGGGTTTCACGAAAGTAAATTAAATAAATTACAAGAATATAAGTTATAATGAACATAAACTTCACTCACAAAATTCACAATTTGCCTTTTTGTTGTTTTGAGATATTTTGAAACTCTTAAGATAGAGATTTTTTAACAATTATAACGAAACTTCGGCCTCTGCTGCATCTGAACCTTAAAGAAGCAGCAGTTTTAGAAGTTAATCCCAGTAGATGAGTGCTGATCTAATTTTAGCAGCGGCTGGAGAAGCAGGCGCCTGAAAAAAGCTTACAAACATTTCCACAATTTTTTGGTCAGACGATTTAGCTGATTCCTCAACTGTCGTTTTTTTTTTTTTTTTTTTTGTGGTTATTGTATTTTTATCTGTGGAATACATAGATCTGTTAACCTCTAGTCTGAGCGTACATGCAAGTTTTATACTAACAAGGCTGCTGGCAATTGTCTTAATATGTGTGGTTGCATCATTCATGGAAACGCTTCGGTTATCTCTTCGGGGAAAATGGAACTAAAGGACCTACATATGTATATATGTATATAAATATGCCGAAAGTATATTTTGAATTTTCGTTGACTTGCAGTGGTGTCTGTCAAATAGCACACATTTAATTCAATAAGCAAAAACAAAAGATTTTTTTAATGCTTTAAACATATTTTCGCATATAGTTATTTTGTGTTAATCTAAAATTTAGATTTAATTTTATGAATCGGACTACCATATACATGTATAGCTACCATGGGAACGATCGAGAAATTAATCCAACAAAAATTATAACTTCGCTAATTCTAAATATATTTTCATCTCCTCTGACGTGGAATTAACTTAATTTTATGAAATCGGGCTACTATATCATATAGCTGCCATAGAAAAGACCGATATATGTAGATAAAAGTGCTAAACTGTGAATGCATAGGTAAATGTAACAAAAGCAGGCAAATAACGTTTTAACTTAAATAAAAATTAATTAAAAATCAGATGACTGTTTATAATAGCTTTCAATAGTCAATTGTTTAAATCCTTACTAAATGTTATATGAAACTTTAGTGTGATTTCTAGAATGTCCAAATCGATTTTTCCTTTAAACCAATAGCAAGCTGCAAGGGTATACAAACTGCAGCTCTTGTTTCTTTTGATTTTTAAGTCGGTGGATAAAGCACAGTTAAGTAAATCAAATCAAATATAAAGCGTGACAAACTCTTTCTCCTGCTTAAAATGTGAATTGAATAAAGGGCAACCAATAACTCTTCCATTACCTTTTTACTGCAAATATTTTATTTCAATTTGCAAAGTTTGCGCTTTCGCAAAGTTGAGTTCTTCAGACTGCGTTTACCCCTAGTTTTCTCTGTTTGCACTTTAAATGTGCAGGGTGAGAGGGCGGGAATTCACCTACACAGACGGAGCACTACTAATACTTGTTCTCTTCCATTTCCGTGCTTTTAGTACTCTTTGCTGCAGACAGTAGTCGAGGCTTGTCAAAAGAAGAAGCACTGCAAGTTTCACGGATCTCCGCAGTTCTATGGACAGGGTGCCAGTGGAGTGGGCGACACTTCCGGAACTAGCAGCTATCACAGCAGCACGGCCAGCTCCAATGCAATCAGCAGTGACCCATGCCCAAAGCGCAGGAAAATTGTGGAAGTTGCCTACAAATGCCGTCCTTGTAAGTAGTCAGTGCCAAAAACAACATAGCAACATTAGCAAAGGTTGCGCTTTGTTTCAATCTGAATTAGGCTCTGATCAAGTGGACCAGGCAAATGGTGACTCTGGGACTGGTGCATTGGATTCGTAGCAATAATATTTAAATAATAGTTTTAATGTTACTGTGTCCGGTTCTGGGAACCGCACACATCGTGTCCTTCTATCCGTCAGCATCCAAATACATCAATTAATTTGACACGATGTATCGGTGCTCCGTTTACCTCTAAGAGGTTTTCGTGCTTTTTCTTAAAGTCCAGTCAGGTGAAGAGCTAACTTAAATAAGCTAATTAGAAGTCGGTTTCGCGAAATTATTTATGTTTTTAATACCTTCGGAAAGAAAAAGCTACATCACAAATTTTATACAAAGCGCATTGGGCGGAAAACCTATGAGAAGTTGCAAGTGCTCAAGTATTATTCTCTTAAAACACAAAAACAATTCCATTTTAAACCAATCCCTTAGGAAATACATCATTATTTTAAACCTTGCAGTTTAGTTAGTAAGTTTAATAATTTGTTGCAACTTTGCTATAGATCGTGAAATGACGGTGTGCTATATATATAATAGGTATAATCATAATGTATTATATGGCCCATATAGACGCCTGGGTAAATACCATCGCCCTATTGAGGTCCTATGATTCCTAAGATTTAGATGACAAATATTTTTTTTTTTAATTTAATTAATTATATTATTTATTTTTATCTTAGTTAAAATCCAGAAAAGATATTTCCATTTCTTTAATTCTGGATGGTTAAAAATAGCCAACGAACATTTCAATTTTATGGTTAAAGTCTATTTTTTTTTGTCAGACGAGTTTCGAAGTAAAGTTGCATGTCACAACGATGTTGCCCAACTGGAGTGCAATCCGTACTCCCGGATTGCTGTATACAGCGCCAGCTTTGGCAGAACTGAGTATGAGAGCATCCAATGCCCCCAGCCGCAGGGAGTTCGTGAAGAAAGTAAGTCTTCAAAGGAGAATTTAAATCGCGTTCTCTGATTTTGTAACGTCTACAATAGCGTGTCTGGCCTCATTTGCCACGGAAACTGTGATGCAAATTTGCCACGGACGAAGGCGATGCAACTTGGCTGCAGATGCTAATACCTTTGGAAGTCCTTGTCAAGCAAATTCACGGATGTACTTAAAGGTTGTTTACACATGCGGTAAGTGGATCCTTAAGGCAATAGAGTGACTGATATAGCTAGGGTATGGCTCAACTTGGAACACTCCGTTTTATGTACTCAATTAGTGCCAAGGCAAGTTCTCAAGGAAATTAACGAATCGGAGGTGGAGACAGACGAATCTGAAGACTTTGAGGGCGATATGAACGACCTTTACGATGATGAACTGATCTACAAAGAGTCGGAGGCGATTCCAAAACTGTACAGCAATGCAACTTCGCCAGGACGACGGAATAGCATCAACGGACTTGGGCAGGGAATTGGGACTAGTCCGTCTGTCAATCAGACTATGACGAACAGTTCCCTCGTTGCAGATGTGGATAGTAATGACGTGAATCCTGTGATGACACATAGCGCGGACTTGAGTCTGGAGGGTAAGACCATCATATATTCAAATAATCCTCTGAGTCACAAAAATTTTTTGTAGAAATTGCACCAATTTATTTAGTACTACACATTATCCGTTTAATGTAATCTTTCTTTAAAATATTAACAGATGACCAAGAGCGTTTGTATTTGTACCTGCTTGTCGTGGGCTCTCTCGGGGTTGTATTTTCGATAATGATTGTCGCTATTAGATTAGTCCTTCAGAAGCGCCGTGGCCTCACTACTGACACACACTCAAACTCCTCGACCAAGGGTGGTGGAGTTTCAGGAGGCTTAGTTGAAGAGACAACTATTCCGAGCGGCTTTAACGACACAATTTCCGAAATAGACGGTGACATCGACCTGACAACCTCACTGCCTTTGCCAAGCGTGTCCCAAAACGAAGTAAGTAATGTAAAATCACGTCCTTCTCCGTACTTCTGGTTACGCCCTTGCTAATACCTATTTAGAACTATTTGACGTACGCGCCGGCGAGCAGTCTATACGCTGGCTTATCCCCATCTCAGCTTACAGCTGGGGTTAGTTCAGGTCCCGTCTCCGGCCTGATGACAAATTCCGTTTTGGTAGGGGCTCAACAGTCGCCCGACGTTATAGGCCTGTCTCCCCCTCCGGGAGCATTTGTAGCCACCAGCATCGCGGGTCAGGGTCCAGTGGCGGGAATCCTGGCGCCCGCTATTGTTATTGGATCCACTGCTCCCCGAAGTAGTGCCATAAGTAAGTAATCCCGTTAGCCAGTGTTGGCTCTGATTCCATTTTCACTTCCCCTCGAAAGGTACCATGGTACCTATTTCCTCGCTAGCTCAATACACAACAGCGCCGACTATCAGGGGAGGTTATATCATAAACGCCGAAGGCATGGGGGTGCTTCAGCGACCAAGTAACTCACCGACGCCGCCAACCTCCATGGCTGGAGGTTCTCCTGCACATCCGCCCACTCATGCGCTTCCGATGCCCTCTCCACTGGCCATGGCCTCAGTGGGCCATGTTCCAATTCCCATGACAGTTGGTGGCACCTCGACGTTGCGCCGCACAAAGGCGCCGATGTTGCAGACGCAGCTTTCTTACGACGGCACCGCCCCACGCACTCTCTCCACCGGCGTGGCTGTGGGCTCGCAGTTCTATTACGGATGACAGAGCACGCTGGACTATGAGCCCCACGTATATACTGCATCCATGGGCAGGAATAGGGACCCACCTGGTAGTGACGGTCTACTTATTGAAACGGCAGATCGAGCCAGTACAGTTAACGAGTTTTCTGGGAATTAGTCGTTACAGACACAAACCCTTTCAGGCTCGAGGAGAATTGCCAACAAAGGACAATACAAGGATAATTCTAGCCTGCACTTAACACTCCAGGCAATCCCAAGTTCATATTAAAGAGGCTATTAAATGTTTCCCTGTCTCCTGAGTCTGAAGAATAAGCTGGCTTTTAGCACAAATAAGTTTTCAGTATTCAGCAATCAGTGTAAATATCTAACAAAGAAGTCTTCTTCTCAAAAATTTTCTATTAAAGAGGAATAGCAGTAGGAATAGAATTGGTTTTAACTACGTCGAAAGTCTTTGTTTATCTTTCAGATTGGTTCTCCTGACAAATTGTCGTAAATATGAGTATGAGTATATGACTTAGTTAGATCATCTTAATTTCAAAAAGATATTTGCAATCATTTAACTTTGATTGTCTACCAGTAAGATTATATTAAGAGAGACAAAGAGGAAAATTTGGCGGTCGGGGGCATGGATACTATTCGTCAGACATTAAAAATTAATAGGGCTCAGTCAAAGAAATAGTTAATTTGTACAGATAACAAACCCAAATGCTCGCTCGAAAACGGAAACAAATGTTGCGGCATATTTATATAAACATTCTGCTTCCTCGCGTTCCGGCAATCAAGTTAGAGATGGTCGCAACTCCTTACTGAGTGCTTCAGATTAGTGCGTTACAAATGTATGAGAGCAATTAATATCCGACATTACTATCCTTATTGGGGCCAGGGCAGGTCAAAAAGCTAATAGCTTGTGCATACGTGCCAAGGTGATTGGTTGGACTCTGGATCTGGCAGAGATGCCTGAAAATGGGGTAATGAACAAATGGGGCAGGTTGGAGCCGGATAGGGTAGCATTTTCGGCTATCGATGTGTGAGGGGTTTACCTTAGTGTTACTTCCATGAGCCAAATTAGTCTCTGCGTTAATGAACTACCTTCTAGCGCAAATTTGTTTACTTACATATATGGGTAATTAAAGTTTGTTTTCATGACATTTACATTTACAATTTGTTGAACTTCTGATACTGTTTGACTCAAGTCTTAATTTTAAATGTCAAGTGCCTTTCTTAATAGCATTTAAGTGAGTGCTGCGTAGTTTGAATCGTTAGTCCTCATAGCGAGCCGTACAATTCAGTGTATATACACATATAAAACCTATAGCTCAATAAAAACAAGCAAGCGCATAGTCATAATATTCAAATGTTTGCAAAATCGTAAATAAATTCACGACTACAGGTAAAGTTTTCTATAAACTGTCCTTATACTGTGGGTAGAATATTAGATAATGTTTAAATATTGGTTCTATAAAAAACCAAAGAACCGGAACCGGATGTGCAACGTCCCTATTAGATCGTAACTATGCAAATGTAAATAAATTATTCATATTAGGCCAGAGTTAGAGTATAAGATAAACCATTATCAATAAATTGTAGCCGTGTACAAAAAGGTTAACGAAAACAAAATATATCCAAGTTAAAAATAAATGCTGGCACATTAATCAAACCAACCGAATCCTGAGTAGTTAAGCAGGGTAGTGCTCATTGAAATAATAAAATACTTAAAGTAAAAAATAAATTGGAATAGAAACCCTAAAATTATCTAAAAAATAAGAATTTTATTTAACAAAAAACTATGCAACTCCCTAAGTTATGTTTTCTTCTTATATATGTAATTTATATTTTATAAGTTTATTTTTAAAAAATTCAATAAATTAAATATTATCTTGAAGTATACGCATTTTTTTTATGGGAGCTGTGCCTCGGTAAGTACCATTAATATAAATATTTTTTAGCAAATGAGGCCCGTTTGTGTGGCATGCTACATTTTTCAGTAGCAAACAAATTATTTTATTAAACTAAATTATTTCTGTAATATAAGCTTAATTACATAATTTGATTAGGTTTTTGGGGTTACTGAATCTGATTCGGAGATACATTTTATACCCTTGCAGGGTATTATAATTTCAGTCAGAAGTTTGCAACGGAGTGAAGGAGGCACCTCCGACTATATTAAGTATATATATTCTTGATCACGATCAACAGCCGAGTCCATCTAGCCATGTCCGTCTGTCCGTCTGTCCGTTTCTACGCAAACTAGTCTCTCAGTCTTGAAGCTATCTGAATGAAACTTTGCTGTTCACTCGTATATATTTCGGAACGGGCCGGATCGGACGACTATATCATATAGCTGCCATAGGAATGATCGGAAAATTTTTACAAAAAAAAATTATAACATTTTTAGTCGTCAAATTTTCATAAAATTAAAACCGAAATTGTAGAATAATATAAAAGGGCTATACAGAAAAAGGTATAATTTTTAATTGTACTAATTTCTCGATCGTTTCTATGGCAGCTAAATGATATACGATATACGAGTGAAAGTGTATAGAAGACTAACTGCAAAGTTTCGTTCAGATAGCTTCAAAACTGACAGACTAATTTACGTAGAAATGGACAGATGCTGATCAAGAATATATATATTTTATGTTATGTTAATACCCTGCAAGGGTATAATAAAGTTCGTATTTTTTTCTTTTAAGGGTTTTTATCTTATGATAAGATTCTCTATTTGTTCAATTTGACTGCGCAGTAAGCTATCTCAGAATTTTTAAGTACTTTCATTAAGAGGCTTTTAAGAAGACTGCTATCGAAAAAATAATTTCTGCTATCTTTCACTACAAAAATGTTATATTCTCTAGAGTGACAGTGTACATCAACCGTAAAGATGTATGCGACTATAACTTTTTACTTGTTTGTTTATGTTTTATTGAATCCCTTTTTTTATTTTCTGTTTTATATCTGTAGTGCATGGCCAAATGGCCCTTAGTCGAAAGCTGTGAAGGACAAAGCGGTCAGATAACATGAGCAGATCTCAGACAACGCAAACAAAGCTGGAGTGCGGGCACCCCCATTGTAAAGAGAGAGTTTCTTAGTGGGAAACTTCAAAGCAATTAATATTTTTATCCAGACACATCAAAAGAGACGCTGAAGGTATTCCATGTATGTTAATCTAAGGCTAAATCGATTCGTGTTGTATATATAGAACTATATACATATGTAATATGTTTTTGTACAATTTATAGTTCCGGAAAGAACTCCTTTATAGTCCTCTGAGCCAAGTCATAATACCCTATAGAGGTATACATTATATTTTGTATACATTTGTACACAAAATTTGAGCCACAAACTTAGGGAAATGTATATTTTTCATTAGTAAAATAGTACAATAATAAATCACAAAACTGAGTAAACATGGAAGATACGACTTAGAAAATATTGGATAAAGTGAATGTCTTAACAATTTCATTGCTCTGATTCTGATATTATTCTTATGTAACCTTTGTAAACAGAACTCGACGAGTTTGCTATTATTAATCGTCTTTATACAATAATACAGAAAATTTTAAATAAGTTGGATTAGACACAATCTCCCATAACTGCAAAAACCATTCTGAAACGCAAGCCTTTGTCCAATCGGCAGCAATCTACAAATAAATGAAGTTTTCTTGAATTTCGAGTTTCAAGCCGCAAGGAAAATATACATATTTATATAATCGATTAAGCCGTAGTAGGAAATAAATTTTTCCCATTAAAAAACCATATACATATGTATAATAAGATATATTTACATTTATATATACAGAGAAAATGTTTATTGTAAATTGCTAAAAGTGCTGCGTCCAACCTAATAAAAGTGTCATAATTTTTTTAATTATAGAAAGGTAGATTCCGTGTTGCAAGAAAATATAAAAATCAAGCCTTGCCATTTTGGGGACAACACTTCCCTTCTAAGCAAAATGGGAACGACAATAAAACCGATATACAATTGCACGTCGTGGGTCCTTGGACCTGTTGAAATATATAGCTAAAAGAAAATCAATAGGGAGCCTTGTCCGGGTATCGCAGATATTTGTATCGGAACTTTGGTTTCCCTTACTCTTAATAAGGATTCTTTTAATTTATTTCGAGATCTGGAACCAATTTTTGTAGTAACTCCTTTAGCTTGATTCTACTGAAGGCTTGTCAGACGGAAAACAATACTCCGCACTTCTCCGCCGTAGGTGGAAAACGCGTAATTTATGTGGAACCCTTTAGCCACTGATCACATTAATATTAGGATTGAGTGCGTTCAGATGAAATCTTGGGTCAATTGCATAATCAGTAACTTTGATGCCCAAAAATTGTAGTTGAAGGTACAGCGTCGCGGGCAGCATATATGTTATAGCCGTTTGGATTTTCTCTTATTATTTGGCTTTTACGTCTACAATATACTTATATTAAACTTTAGTTGACCTTTAATCTCACTACTTAACTTGTTGACTTGAACCGCTAACCACCGAATTTGCCTGCTACGCTTTTACTTACGTTTCTCTGATTTAAGAACATATATTATCTTAGTTCTTTGCTTACCAACACTCAATAACGCAAACAATTTGTATATTCCTACGAAAATCAAGAGTTGCTATACATATTTTTAAACACGATTTAAAGAATAAGGTTAAAATAAAACTTTTAAATGAGTATTTCACATAAAAAATACAAGGGAATTCAAAACTGCACATATATGTAGGTATTTCCATTAGGTAGTTCACTTCAGTAAGAAATGCTTTTTTTTAATTCCCACATCATTTTTACTTAATAGAGAACAAGCGAGAGACGTTGCAGAATTCGAAAAAAAATAAAGTTAAAATCCGGAATAATTAATAAATACAAATCAATTAAAGCTCTCTCTTGCCCTCTGAAAACTAAAGAAAAACATTAAATTTTAAGAAAATAAAATTTAAATAAAAAATTTTAAACTTATTTTATCATTTTTATTCCAAATCTGATTTTTACAAATATTAGGAAATTGGATTCTTAGTGCAAGCAATAATGTTTCTGACTTATCAAGAATCGTTTCTTTATGTAGGTGGCTGAAAGGGCTTGTGTCTGTAACGACTAATTCCCAGAAAAGGTGTAGAGATATTACAGGGTTTTGAAACCTTTAATTGATAACACTCTTTCTTTATAATTTTGTTAATACATCGACTAGAGTTGATTCTTTACGAAAATAACATTGAACACAAAGAACCTTTTTATAATTCAGGAACTTAAATTTTAAAATTTAACAAATACAAATACAAAGATTAACCCAATTTTTTTTTTAAACTTTGTCGTTTATAAGGCAGACTTCTGGGCTTTTGCCCCGATTTTGGGGCTAAATCTATAGAACTATATGATTTCATTTCGATATATTTAAGCTTTTTAAAACACCAAAAAGATGATATTAGCTATTATATAAAATTGTTGGTTGTTTTTTCTTAAATATTAACTTTTGTTAATTATGCTTGACATAAAATTATTTTGTTGAGAAACCACGGAAAAGGGTGTAATCGGGAGTCTGTTAAAAGTTTTCTAAATTGTTTATGCAATTAATCTAAAACTTTGTATTTTAAATTAAAATCAAAACTTATTTACAGGGAGTAAGCTAGAAGGATGGAATAGATTGTTCGATCGTTGTGGTTCCGACAAGAGCAGTGCCTTAATAATTGACATTAAAATATTTACAAACTGGAATAAATATTTAATTTACAACTTTCAAAAGTCTTTTTAGGCCATTTTCTAGAAGCAGAACGGGAACATGTGACTTGGGTATAAAGAAAGAAGACTCTGTTCGATGGTTGTGGTTGTTGGCAGTTGGTTAATGCCACTGCGGATGTTGACGATTACATTTAAATTATTTACAAGGCTGGTCGCCGACACATTTGTTATTCGCTTAACTTTTATGACGATGGCGGATTTTCACCAACGCTCTCAATCAAGCTCTGTTAAACTTCCTTCAACACCCCGACATATAACTTCAGCTGCTGCTCATTGCCTGCCTAAACCCGATGATGGTGCCAACTAAAAGCGAGGGTGTCACACTCTTACGGTCGGTTTACGAGCATCATTTTAATTTCCAATTAACGTTTATTAAAGCTTAGCAAGCTATCCGCTGTTTTTAGCGAAATATGCATAATAAAGCAAACAAAATCCAATATACAGAAGAAGCCTAAAAATAATAAAATGGAGTAACAACTTATCCTAAGAGAGCTAAAATCGGGTTGCCGACAATTTTATACACTTGTATTTTACAACCATCATTCATAATCTAACTAATATTGTGCACTCTTACTTTGTGCACTCCCGATATTGGTTCAGTTGATACAAGGTTCACTTGTAGCGAAAGTGAGTTAACGATATCATTTTTCAATTTAACAGCGATTTTGGTTTAACTATTTTACAAGAGGAAAATGCAAAACTGTGAATGTAAAACTGTATGTGTAATACTATAAGTATAGAAGAATGCAACGGAAAGTAGGCATTGCTTTGATGTTTTTTAACATAAATACATCGAATTTATATTGTACTAGCAAGTCCGACGAACTCCGTTTCGCCACCAGATGGCTTCGTTTTATGTAACATTTCGTTTGGTGTTATTTTTATTCCATTGCAGGGTATTATAATTTCAGTCAGAAGTTTGCAACGCAGTGAAGGAGGCACCTCCGACTATATAAAGTATATATATTCTTGATCAGGATCAAACCCCGAGTCGATCTATCCATG